GTGCATGATATCTATTTATACATATCTATATCTATATTTATTCATATATCTACCTATATTTATTGATTTATATATCTATTTTTCTATTTGTGTATATCTATATATATATATTCATTTATCCATTTATCGCTCTATCTATGCGTGTGTGTGTGTGTGCATATTGCATATTGTGTGTATATTTACATATATAGACATGAATGAGGAAAACACTCTACCGTGTTGATACTATGGTAGAAAAAAAAACTAGTTTTACATTGTGGGTTTTTCTACCATATATAAACATGTACATGTGTGTATACATATGTATATATATATACATATATATATCAATATATATACATATATATATATATTTACATACATATACACACACATACCTACAAACACACGCACACACACACATATATATACATATATATGTGTGTGTGTATAGATATATATATACATATATATATATATACATATATGTGTATATACATATACATATATATATATATATGTGTGTGTGTGTGTGTGTGTGTGTGTGTGTGTATGTATATGTACATATCTATATATTTACACACATACACACACACATATATATCTATATATATATGTATATATATATACATATACATGCATACATTATTCTAGTATTATAATTGCTTGGTTAAGTATCTTATCTTTATAAGATACTTTTTTGACTATTTCCTTGACATGTACTCCTTTACTTTTAATGGAGATAATCTTAAGCTTTGACTTAGTAATTGTGTAGGGACATTAACTTATTTTAATTGCTTGGTTTAAGTATCTCATCTTGGTTAAAGATAATTTCACTATTTTATTGTAGTGCAATTATCTCAGCAAATAACAAACAGCTATTTTCTATGATTTCAGTAATTGCATGTGATTTTTTAAAAATTATTGTTTATAATTTCAATTATCAATATTGTCTGTTCTTTTATAATTAATAACAATTTGTTTAAGTTGAAATTACATTTTGTTTTTCATGTTAGCATTAAGAGTAAAGTTGCAACCTACTTGTTAGAAGTAACAAATGGATATGCATTTTGGATATATAATATTTTTCGATTAATAAATACTGTGTATTCTTTTTAAAGGTAGTTAACTTTTCCCCATACTTAACTCAACTAAATGATAAATGGAGATAAATTGATAAAAGAAGGTCGACAGAGAAATGCGGTTCTTGCGTGTGAGCTGTGTGTTCATAGGGGAGTGTATGAACACAAACTGAGGTTGACGTGTCCTTACTTTGATGCTAATTTGATCCTTATTCCTTGATATATTGTAGGATTAAAGAAAGAAAAAAAAAGAGAAGCGATGAAAGGAGCACGAAGCGCGGAGTCTCACCTTGACGAAGGCAGGAAGTCCGTTAGGCCAGTGGCGTCCCCTGGTATATAAGTGGAGCGGTGCCACACTGACACAATAACCCGACCCTTTCGACATGTTCTCAGTGAGTTCCCAGGCAGGGCATACCTTTCCTTGGTGGATCCATCGGATTTGGATAAAATAAAAACTTGAGTTTGTTCAACTTAACAAAATTTCATGAAATTGCTTTATCTTCCCTCCAGGTGCTTTATGATATGACAATTTCGCAGATTTTAGTATGTGCTTTGGTGGCGGTGGTTGCCGCAGCCCCAGACCACTACGGACCACCTCCGGCCAGGTTCTATGGCATTCCCGGGGCGTATTCAGGTCCAGTCATTCCCATCCTGAAGGACGAGCGTGAGGGACCTGACGCATCAGGAGTGTACAGCTTTGAGTTCGAGACCGGCAATGGCATTAAGCGTGAGGAACAAGGTGCCCCTCGAGGACCGTCTGGCGCAGTGGCCATGCAAGGAGGATGGTCGTGAGTACAAAGCATGATTTGTTTTGATTCTTTTTTCAATGCTTTTGTGGATTTTATTGCTCGCACATACATAACTATGCATTCAGTCTTAATTGAATAAGATTTAATATCTTTGTGAATGAGCATTCCTCCCTCCTTTTCTGTTCAGTTTCACTTTCCCCGACGGCTCTCCCGCCGACGTGACTTTCGTCGCCGACGACGCTGGTTACCGCGTCGAGTCCGACCTGCTGCCCACGCCCCCTCCCCTCCCCGCCCACGCCATCGCCCAGATCGAGAAGGCTCGTCGGGAGGACGCAGCTGCTGCCGCCCTCAGCGGGCGTTACTCTGCCCCTCGGACTACTTATGGATACCCTTAGTATGATCTTAAAATATGAATATAAATTTAATGTATTGTGTATATAAAAGGAAGTAATAAAGCAAATAGTGATATATCTGCTTTCATTGGGAGCAATATATACCACCTCTATAATACATTAGCATAGAAAAAAATGCATTTGACTAAACATTTGTGCGATATCAGGATATGCGTAAGTGTTATCAGTGGAAAGAGCAAAGAATAGACATATGATTGCGTATGTATATATGTGTGTATGTTTAAATTATACATATATAGTGAATAATTAGGTTCTTATTAATTGGACTGGTTTAGTCTCGGGTTAAATCAAAACAAAATCCTCGTACATTTATTACACTTCCACAATATACAGTATTTCACAAAAAATTATTGTACTTCCCAATTTTCCACTTTCCCAAAATTATAGTTTGTTTCAATTCCAGCTTCAGTTTCTCTGCTTTCGTTGACTCCTTTTCGGTCCCTATATGGAGATAAATCTCCAAAAATAAATGAACCTTTACGTCATTTACCTAAGTCTTTTTTAAATTATATATATATATATATATATATATATATATATATATATATATATATATATATATATACATATATATGAATCCAAAAATAAAGTCAGATTTCTCCGTCAATCCCAAAAACAAATGAATTAACCATAACCATGCATGGATGTCCAAGAGCGACTAAACGAGACAATGAATCTCTACTTAGTGGCCACCTTGACCGTGTCACGGTTAGCCACGTCACGAACCTTTTCCTCGCCACTGAACGAGACTGAACAACTCAACGCCCACAACCATCTACTGTCCGAATTACAAGATGCTCGCTTATTTGTCGCACATCTTGCTAATATCTTCCATTAACGATCTTTTAAATACGATCCCTCCACACATACACACACACGCACGCACACACACACACATATATATATATACATATATATATGCATGTATGTATACACACAAACATATATATGTAATATATATATATATATATATATATATATATACATATATATATATGTATATATGTGTGTGTGTGTGTGCATATTGATCAGTTCATATACACAACCATATATTTGTATACTTATGATTATATAAAGCACACAAAGGAGTGTTGTTATGTGCGCGTTTTTTATGTATAATTAATGATATCTATTGGTAATAAGCACATGTATAAACACATACAAATATATATATGTGTGCACACATTGTCTATCTGTCTAGACACACACATGTGTATATATGTATATATATTCATAAATTTATACATACATACATACATATGTATATATACATAAATATATATATATACTGCACACACACATCTTGTTCCTCGTTCTCCTAAAGCTTTTGGCTATATACAATTTGCTTTTCCCGTTATAGTTTACTGTCAACTGCAATACTAGTAATAATGAAATATATGGAATGATATAGAATAGTAAACTATATTGATAATACTGATATTTATTAAAGCAAATTATATATACAGTATAACGCGCACGCCAGTGTGTGTATGCATATATGTGTGTCTATGTATATAAATGTACATGGATGTGCGTGTGCATGCGTATATCACATATCTTACCATATGCCAGCATCATTGAAAATTTCCTTCTTGATTCTCCGCTCTCGGGCAATTCGGAGCCATACTTATCGGGTAGCTAAGAATGATCAACGACACGATTGATGATTTTGAAATGAGTAATGTCGTCTATGGTATTAATATTGTCGTTTTTTCTTCATTTAAGGATTTTTATTGGACCATTATCAATACTATTATCCTTATTATTCTTATTTTACCATCGCAATTATAATTACCTTTTTTTCATTTTTATCGTTCGTTAATTTCTATTTCCATTGTAGCTATTTTGACAATTTTGATAACTAAATTCTATGGCTATCATTTCCAGTGTGACTTCAAGTAAATGAAACACCCTTCTAAAGGTATTTGGAATAATGATTCCACATCTATACATATCGCACCGCCGAAATCTGTCTACATACTTTCCACATATATCTACAAGATAATCTGTTCACCTTGGTGAACACAGGAAGACCTTGCAGGCAGTAAGAGGCCGCTGGTATATAAATGGAGCGGGATGCTACCCTTGGCACACTGAAATCTACTCTATCAACATGTTCTTGGTAAGTTCACAGGCACTGAATACTTGTGCCTGATGAAATCCAAAGTTTGGAATAAACCATGAGAAAAAAGCCCCAGACTACTACAGACCACCTCCGACCGGGTTCTATGGCATTCCCGGGACGTATTCAGGTCCAGTCATTCCCATCCTGAAGGACGAGCGTGAGGGACCTGATGCGTCTGGAGTATACAGCTTCGAGTTCGAGACTGGCAATGGCATTAAGCGTGAGGAACAAGGTGCCCCTCAAGGACCGTCTGGCGCAGTTGCAATGCAAGGAGGATGGTCGTGAGTAACATCCATATATATTGATATAATGTAAATGTTTACAGAAATTGATTTCTCATTCAAACTGTCCTTCATTATTATAAGTGAGACAACCTTGGAAAGCACCAACAAGCTGTGCTTGTGTGAATTTGTCTGACATTGCATAATCTTCTCTCCTACTCAGTTTCACTTTCCCCGACGGCTCCCCCGCCGATGTCTCTTTCGTCGCCGACGACGCTGGTTATCGCGTCGAGTCCAGTCTGCTGCCCACGCCCCCTCCCCTCCCCGCCCACGCCATCGCCCAGATCGAGAAGGCTCGTCGGGAGGACGCAGCTGCTGCCGCCTTGAGCGGGCGTTACTCTGCCCCACGGACTAGCTATGGATACCCATGATGTGCTCTGATAATGTGCATCGAAGTTTAACCTATTGTATATAAGGATAACCAGAATATAAAAATCCATGAATAGTATTTCTTTTCATTAAATATCTAGTATATGATCAAGTATATACTTCCATTATGTATACATCTATACAAAATATGTATATCCATATATATGCATACATACATACATATATATACATATATATAAAAATGACAAACATATATATATAAATATATATATATGTATACATATATACATATGTAAGCATATATATGTATATATACATATGTAATCATATATATGTATATATATACATGTACAGTATGCATACGCACATATATGTACATATACATGTTTGTATGTATATATTTATGTATACATATATGTGTGTACAGGATGTATATAGATGTATGTATACACATAATATACATTATATTTATACGTGTACATTATGTATATATACATGTACACATATATATACATGTAGAGTATATACATAGACATATTTATGTACAGTATTTATATATACATACATATATATACATATATACATACACACTCATACGTGCGTTTGACACTACAGTAGTGACAATTATTGAATCATATACTGTAAATATATATATATATATATATATGTATGTATATAAGTCAGCCTAAAATCGAAGATAAAGCTATACAGGTCGCTGGTTCTCTCCATTTTGATATACGGTTGTGAGAGCTGGACTCTGACTAGTGACACTGATAGAAGGATTCGAGTTTTCGAGATGAAGTCCTACAGGAAAATCCTACGAATATCTTATCATGAAAGGAAGACAAATGAGTATGTCAGAGCAATGGTAGACAGTATTGCAGGCAAGCAAGTATCCCTCCTTAGCACCATTAAGAGACGCAAGCTAAAGTGGTTTCGGTCACATAACCCGCCACGACTCATTGGCAAAGACAATCCTACACGGTTCGGTTGAGGGAAGACGTGGACAAGGGCGCCCGCAGAAGAGATGGATGGAGAACATCAAGCAAAGGTCGGGAAAAGATGCTGCAACTTTGAATCGTCTAGCAGAGGACAGAAAGGAATGGAGAAGCCTCGCCAATGAACAGACCCTGATCATGCACAAAGCGGTCAATGGTACCCATGATAGTGCTCTGGGTGTCTGTGCTAACGCTTGCAATGTTTGTCTGTATGCATTTACAAATCAACCTTGCAATTAGTATTCTTTCAATCTTCATGGGACTTGTTTTCTATTTTTTCATCGACTGTATACATTGTATATAGATTGAAACTGATGAAAGTCAACGGCAAATGGCTTACTTAATGCTACAATGTTATATCATATTTCTCACGAAGTGTTTCCGTGATCGCCTTCCTTTACTTCTTCACCATTACCATCTTTACGCCTGCGGCCAGGGATGTCAAACTCATCTCCTGCGAGTTGGGCCCAAAACATATGTGCGTCGGATAAAAGGAGCCATTTGTTAAAGGTTTAAAAACATAATAATGGATGTTGTATCTGAAAGTATAAGAGGTCATTTGAATAAGTCAAGAAATTAAGATATACATACCATTATATAGAGACCAAAAAACAATTAAATCACGCAAACCACAAGAGTCGCATGTGACACTCTTTACTCTAGGTTTTTGTTTTTAAATATATGTTTGCCTTCACACTCTCACTTAATAGAACTGCAACCATAAAAGAAACTCCGTGCTGCGATTGTTGCTACAATTCACTTTATACGAAAGATAGATATATCCACAGTCTGAGGCAAATAGCAAACTTTGTCTGTGGGGAGGAACTTCACCTTGACGCAAACAGGAAGTCCGTGTAGGCAGTTCGAGCCACCTAGTATATATAACTGGAGCGCGACGCTGCAATTGGCATACAGATTTCAACTCCGCCAACATGTTCTTGGTTGGTTCTCAGGCACTGAATATCTGTCATTGATATTGTTCTGAACCGTGCTTAATTTCAGTTTGAGAAGAAACATGCCATTGTTCATCTGGGCTTGTGATACAGACATGTTCTTAATTTACCGCAGATGTTCGTCGGCTTTTTGGTGGCGACGGCTGCTGCAGCCCCAGACCACTACGGACCACCTCCGACCAGGTTCTATGGCTTTCCCGGGGCGTATTCAGGTCCAGTCATTCCCATCCTGAAGGACGAGCGTGAGGGACCTGACGCATCTGGAGTGTACAGCTTCGAGTTCGAGACTGGCAATGGCATCAAGCGAGAGGAACAAGGTGCCCCTCAAGGACCGTCTGGCGCAGTGGCAATGCAAGGAGGATGGTCGTGAGTACAAAGCATGATTTAGTATATTACATAATATTTTTCAATGTCAATTACTTGTTCGCAAACAATATCACTTCACATTTTGAAATACAGTTTAGCTTGCAGTGTTGGTTAGAATGAAGATTCCTAACTTTAATGTCTGACGTCGGTTAATCATGTTTCCCCCGCAGCTTCACTTTCCCCGACGGCTCTCCCGCCGACGTGACTTTCGTCGCCGACGACGCTGGTTACCGCGTCGAGTCCGACCTGCTGCCCACGCCCCCTCCCCTCCCCGCCCACGCCATCGCCCAGATCGAGAAGGCTCGTCGGGAGGACGCAGCTGCTGCCGCCCTCAGCGGGCGTTACTCTGCCCCTCGGACTACCTATGGATACCCTTAAGATGATCTTAAAATATGAATATAAATTTAATGTATTGTGTATATAAAAGGAAGTAATAAAGCAAACAGTGATATATCTGCTTTCATTGGGAGCAATATATACCACCTCTATAATACGTTAACATAGTAAAGAATTACATTTGATTAAACATTTGTGCAATATCAAGATATGAGTTAAGTATTATCAATGCAAAGAGGAAAAAAAAATATATAGTTCTTGTTGGGGAGTAACTCAGGGGAACACGATAAAAAGGCAAAACTCTCTATCTCTTATATATGTATATATATGTAGATATGTGTGTGTGTGTTTGTATTACACAAACACACACACACACACATATATATATATAGATATATGTGTTTGTGTGTGTATTGTGTATAATTAGGTTCTTATTAATTGAACTGGTTTAGTCTCGGGTTAAATCGAAAATCGTATATTTATTACACTTCCAAAATATACAGTATTTCACACAAAATTATTGTACTTCCCAATTTTCCACTTTCACAAAATTACAGTTTCAGTTTCAATTCCAGCTTCAGTTTCTCTGCTTTCGTTGACTCTTTTTCGGCAACACTCTAAACAGGGGAGGATATGAAACGGGGAAAATGGTGGCGCCCCTCCTGCCCGGCCCTCGACAGAAGTCGGTCCCTATATGGAGATAAATCTCCGAAAATAAATTAACCTTTACGTCATTTACCTAATTCTAAGTTATTATTAAATTATATATATATATATATATATATATATATACATATATGTATATATATATATATATATATATATATATATATAAATGAATCCAAAATAAAGTCAGATTTCTCCGTCAATTCCAAAAACAAATGAATTAACCTTAACCATGTATGGATGTCCAAGACCGATTAAACGAGACAATGAATCCCCACTTAATGGCCACCTTGGCCATGCCACGGACGGCCACGTCACGAATCTTTTTCCTCGCCACTGAATGAGACTGAACAACTCAACGCCCACAACCATCTACTGTCCGAATTACAAGTCGCTCGCTTATTTGTCGCACAACATCTTGCTAATATCTTCCATTAGCAATCTTTTAAATACACACACACACACATACATGTGTGTCTGTGTGTATATATATAATGTATATAATATACATATATGAATATACATATGTGTGTGTGTGTATGTGTATATTGGTCAGTTCATATACACAACCATATATTTGTATATTTATGAATATATAAACGAGTGTTATATGTATTAATTTTTATGTATGATTAATATGATATCTGTTGGTAATAATTACATGTATAAACACATACATACATACATGCATATATATATATGCATGTATATGTGTGTGTGTGCATGTGTGTATGTACACATATTGTCTATCTATCTCCACACACACATATATGTATATAAATATTCATATATTTATACATATATACATACATATATACATATATATACATATAAATACATACATACATACATATATACATATATATACATATGTATATACATATATATACATATACATATATACTGCACACACATATCCTGTGCCTCGTCCTTCTAAAGCTTTTGGCTATATACAATTTGCTTTTCCTGTTCTGGTTAACTGTCAACAGCAATTTTAGTAATGATGAAAATATAGGAACGATAATAAGAATAGTAAACTATATTGATGATACTGATATTTATCAAAGCATATATGTTCATGGATGTGCGTGTGTATGCGTATATCACATATCTTACCATACGCTAATATCATTGAATATATATCTCGAAATGATTTACATACGCTTCTTAATGAATACTCAAAAAGGAAAGCAAATTTCACTCTTGAATCTCTCGTGAATATCCCTTCGGTCTCGGGCAATTCGGAGCTGTACCTACCTATCGGGTAGCTAAGAATGATCAACGATACAGTTGATGATTTTGAAATGAGTAATGTCTATGGTATCATAATTGTCATTTTCTCTAATTTAATTATTTTTATTGGATCATTATCAATACTATTATCCTTATAATTCTTATTTTACCATCGTCATTATAATTACTTCACTTTCTTTTCATTTTTATAGTTTATTTTTACTTCCATTGTAGCTATTTTGACAATTTTGATAACTAAATTCTATGGCTATCATTTCCAGTGTGACTTCAAGTAAATGAAACACCCTTCTAAAGGTATCTGGAATAATGAATTCCACATCTGTACATATCGCATACCTGAAATCTCTATATACTTTCCACACATATCTACAAGATAATCTGTTCACCTTGGGGAACACAGGAAGACCTTGCAGGCAGTAAGAGGCCGCTGGTATATAACTGGAGCGCGATGCATACTGAAATCTACTC